TTGTTCATCGCCCAAAGGCATTTCCCATATTCCAACCGGCTACGTGAAGAAATGCAAAATGTCCTCGCGGGCACACCCTCGACCACTCTTTCTGCTGGGGGTAGGTAACTACCCTTACCGGGAGGCATCTTGCCGTTTCGCGTATAGGTTCCTTCGGAGGGTGGGCCGGGACTTTTATTTCAATATCGGCTAAATGGATTCACGACACGAACGCGAAAAACGCACGTGGCGCATGGAAATAAGAGAGGCAAGTTACGCGTCGCGAGCGCCAAATATTTGCCAGTGGTATAATTATATTACCGAGTGTTGTCAGGAGCTATGCTGCCATCTATATACGTGCGTCGCACTTACTTCTGCATGGGACACGTAAGCTCGGATGTCGCATTAGCATTTAAATGAGAATTCTTTTCTTTTTTCTTGTCTCCCTTAGGAATTGCCGAAGGTTCTTGTTTATCTTTTTTTTTTTTTTTGCAATACCTACGTCCTTAGACTGGTCCGAGTTCACGTCCCCAATGGGACATTTAGGGGACTTTGCATTATTGGCGTTATTTTGTTGCCGAATTTTTGCGAATTATTACGCGAACGTGAATGGGCTGGTAATATTTATTTTTTTTGACTGAATTTGACTGATCGATTAAAGTGATATTTTAATTTGACACTGATAATACGTTTTGGATTATTTTTATGGGGTTTGGTCGTTGTGCTTATTATTATTTTTTGCTATCAGACATGCACCTTATGCTACTGGCTTTAGGATGCGATTATTCGTTTGATTTTAAAATACTGCAAAAAAGAGGGAGTCTCGACTCGAGTAGGTATTCAGGGGATTTTTACCGGTCGTAGATAACGGTCTTTTAATCAGGGATTTCTTTAATTGCGGTTTTGTTTCTCGAGTGCTTCATTTCGCCAGTGAAAAAGTCTCTATTACGTTTAAGATGGATTCTCGTAGATACTTGTAAGTTGGGTTAGGTTAGGTTTACAGCCCTTTCATTCGTCCTCGACGAAGGAATATTTAAAGCGGTAATTTCAAACGGTTCAAATCGACCGTTTAGCGATTCATTGTGTTTCGCAATACAAGTTTTGTTGTTTTTTTTTTATTTCGCCAACCGGTTTTATTTCAACGAGTTTATGCGTATTTTAATAGCGTGTAATTTTAATTAATTAAATCGAATGGATGATTAAGATTTTCTACTCGGACTTGTACGTATCTTTTGATAATGAAGTATTCTTTAAGTCAGTATCACTTTACACGAACTATATACCAATTTAGAAAGTCTTATTGTTAACAATGAGCCTGCAATTATTATATCAGCGAATATTAGCGTCTTGGGAATTATCGAAGCGTGCAAAGTCCAAGGACAGCAGTACGGTACAGACAGGCAGAAAATTTTCACCGCCAAAAAGTCTCAGCGCATAAATTCCACCTTGATGCTTGTTGTCCTGGTGTGCTGATATGGATTTCCTTTTTTTTTTTCCTTCATCCAGTATCCCGTGCTTATCGGCAGTCAGTCCCCTCTTATCCTAGCGAAATTAGTCCGTGGATTAGGATGGCAGGATTAGGTGTGGAATCTTTACACTATCATCTGTAATCAGGCGAAGAGGGAAGAAAAAATTAACGTGACGTTTGTTCGTTCATTGATACGCGGTTTATATATTTATGTTTATATATATATATATATACATACATACAGTGGAGACTCGATTATCCGGACCTCAGTTATACGGATTCGTGATTATCCGGATTGCCAACTGCGAGCAAATATCTTTGTAGTCTAATCCGTGCGTGCACGGACATGTTGCGCTGGCTCTAGCCGCCCGCGCCCCACGCGATCTCTTCTTCGTCCTGTTTCATTATTGTTTTAGCTAGACAGTTTCCCTAGAAAGATACCATATGACAACATAACTAAAAGATAACCATCCGCGGGCGGCGTAGGTTATCTTTCTAGAGTTAATATATATGTATGTAATACAAAAAACCGCTTTTCTTCATATATTCAATTATCCGGATTTTCGATTATCCGAATGACTTACGACAACAATTAGTCCGGTTAATCGAGTCTCCACTGTATACGTAGGAATACAAATTTAGATGTATATAGAAATACAGACCTTGAATTTTGTCATACCTCAATTTCTCTTCTGATTGTTTTGTTATTGGCTTCTTAATGCGTCTTTCGATTCTGTTAATAATGACGAAAGACGTTCCTGGAGTCAGAGGTTATAGGTCACAGATTTAAGTCTCCTTCGTGCTCTTCTCATCAGAGGGGACCGCATGCGATGTGACGTGTTACTTCTGAAAGAGGAAGAGGCGCGTCTTTTAAACTGGAGTCAATTGGCTTTTACGTTTTATATCGTATAACGTAATACGCGGCTCGTGTCTTGATTCGATGCTGGAATCCCAAATTGAGGCTTACTTAACGTCGAACGTGAGAGCGTCGGAGCGGGAGATTCGTAAAGCGCGAAAGGGATTTGTGAATTAAGTCTAAGGAATATAAATGATAGCTTCGTCTTTTTTATCACTCCGAGTGTTTTATACCCCGTCGCTTCGCTTTTATCAGCTATGGGTTTTCTTTTAATTGAATCGAACTTCTTAGACTTTTTATTATTGATCTGTGTATACACTATTTTCTATAGGCGGATTTGTTGCTTGCATAATTTTTTTATTCTGTCTCTTTTTTAATTATCAGTTCACTTTTGAAAATATTTTCTTCTTGTACGAAGATTATGATTTTGACACTGAGTTTGGTAATTGGCTTTCTCTTTTTCAGGGGGAACGTGGGGAATACGAAACTTTTGATATCGTCTTGGATTTTTGATGTAAAATAGACAGCTTGGCGCTTACAAAGGATTTTCGAAAATTTTAGGTAAATCCAGGCTAATGTGGTGGGAATTAAGTTATGGTAGGGGAGAAGTCGGAGGGATGTAAGGTAGGGAAAAAAAGGTTGGGAGCTTGATCGGCACATCAGTTACCTAACTCTTGGATTTACATGCGATTCCTATTACAGATAATCTGCCAGATATTCTTCCTCCCGTGTAATTCGACAAGGAAATGCCTTTGGAGTACAGATTTTCTAGGTAGATCTAGGTTTTCCCGATGTTCGTACTTAATTTGATATAATAAGATTTAAGAAATAAGAGAAATCCAACGCGAAAGTGGATCGGACAGTTTTACTGTAACGATAGTCAAATTAGTCATTAGTTTCATTGTTCTCAATCACGCTAATTTGTTTCTTTTAGTAGGTCATTGACAGTTAACAGTGGACTGATTAGAAAGTATAAAAATACTTACTTCCTTGTAGTAAATAAATGTAGAAAAGTTTTTAGCTCCTTCGATCAGATCAAGGCCGAGCACCATGACAGCTGACGAACTACAGCTTGAAGGTTCGTAGCGGATCCGATAGATGGCGCCACGTATTGCCTCGTACAACGTCCCTAGTCAAGAGAGGTGTTTAAGAAGATAAAATAATACTCGTAAAACCTTAATTACCGTAATCCCTGTAATCTTTAATCCACGTTGAATAAAAAGTCTTTTATTCTTGATCCATCGTGAAAATTACTGCTGTCACTCCGCTTGGAGTTACCGACATTATGATTAACACAGTAGGGCCAGCCAAGTACTTTCAAAGTGTCAATCCCGTAGTAACGAACGTTACTCGTAAAAGTTCGGTAGCGCGAAGAATGTCAATTGTTACAATTCCTTAATAAAATCTAACCCTTAACCGATTCACTCTGGCAACGCTGTGCTTACGTAAGCGGCAGAGCGAGTGTCGGGAAGGAGCAAAGGACTCGTGCTAAACCTGAAAAGCCTGAAGCCTGTTGCTAAGCGGCGAGTCACTCATGAGCCATGGATAAACGACGAGCACAAAGAGACCAACGTTGCCGTTTTTTGGAGGGAGAGAAAAGGTCCTTGAAATAAGATAAAAATTTCAAGAATAACTTAAGGTAACCTAATTCCATAGAATCAATAAATTTCTTCGAGAATTTACTTTTCAAATATAATCAATTTTAATTGTCGCCCGATTCCACGGTGAACTTTGATACTATTTCGACTCACTTTATTTCTTAATGTGTTTAATATTTTTCATTTCACGATTTATCACGGTTGTTTAATGATCGTTGGAATTTTTGATTCATACGAAATTTTATGATTTTCAATGTGCATCGAATTCGGATTTAATGACACACTAGGTAGACTCAGGCTTAGTGGTGGGATCGTAGCGCAATGCAGGACGCAACGTGGCAACTTGCCGCGGAGTGCGGTCGAAATGCGGTAGGGATATCGTGTATGTGCCTGGAACGTGGTTGCTATAGGTACCAACCTACCACCTATTTGATCATGCTTCTGTTTCGCATTCGATATTGTTCCATTTCGAATAGGAACATGGAATATTGTTACGTCATTATATTGAGAACTTACTTGTCGAACTGTATTTCGAGAGCATTGGTTTATGTTTCGAAACAAAATCGTCGTGTTCATTTATCGGTTTTTTTGTATTTGTTTTCGTAAAAGCAGTGAGGATAATCTAGAAATGTTTCACTCGAAACTTCAAGTAAGTACGATAACGGTATTAACATTTTCAAATTTAATAGCAGGAGCGGTACGTACATTTTATTTGAATAAGTTCATAATGCGGTTACATTGATACTCTTTTTTTAGTTTCCCAAAGGATTTCCTAACCATGGGAAATTCGCTGGACATTTTGATGCACAGGATGTCATCCATATTTCTGAGCCTTGGTTATAATACCCGCAAGACAATGGCGTGGGGCACGGCGCCTCTGGCTTGCGCACTTCACAATTGCCAAATGGTTTTGCTGCGGTTAGTGGCTTTGGATTTTTAATCCATTCAATGGCTTTATTCATGTTCACCAGGTAGACGTCGGGAAGGGATTGAAGATGCTTGATAAATCTGGACAAATAATTTATTCGTTAGTAGGAGACTGGTATAAAGTTTATATTCATATATTGAATATATTTAATACATGAAATAATATGTATATTTACTCACAGTTTGTATGCCTTGAAATATTCTTCATTTTTAGAAAACCAAGATGCATGCATAAACACCGGAAACGGTGCTCTGGATCCTTTATAATATTTTTCAAACTGTTGAATCATCCATTGAGCCACCCCACTCCCAGTTTCCGGTCTGCAATCAAGATGTCAGTGCAAGTTCTATTCTCATTATAGTACTTCACTGTGGAAGCAATGTGTGCTAAGTTGAAGTACCCCCAAGAGATTTCAGAGGAGCTCAATGTGACTCTCGATACGTAAATTTTACCGAGGAAATAAACATGGTAGGTAAAATAGACAAAGACCGGAGAAACTGAGAGGAACGCAGTTAAAGGATACAGAGGGTTGAGTAGAGTAAAAGGAGAAGTAACCAGTCAGAGCTGAAATGTTCTTCTGAAGCGTTTCCACTTAAAATCTAAGAGGGGGATATCTTTACGTTGCGTCATTTAATGTCTACCTAGTGAACCGGAAGTTCTCCCCAAGTCACGAGCGATACGAACCTACTATCTATTAGCGACGCAAGACTCAATGAGAAGTAAGAAAAAATGTTAAAGCATATTTAAAAAAGTTTGACTTTCTTAAGAGTCTTGAAACTTCAAAGTGTTTTTAATCCTCTGAAAATCTGTTTTTTTTTTCAGTGACCTACACTTTTGCCTTCTTGAAATTTCCATCATAGATTACTCACATGTTCAAGCAGGAATCCACCATGCTGCACGGAATATTGTTCTGATCTTCCCAGACTGTCATCGGTATTTCCCAAACTCCTGGAAAACTTGCCGTAGGACAAGGCTCAATAACGCAATCCTGAATGCTTTGATAATCAAGACTGTACGGCCATAAGGGAGGATTCACGAAATGAATCGATGGCAGAGAGCTGTCGTACAAGAGTCCCAATTCCTTCATAGCCTGGAAACTTACGTTTCCTGATGTTTGCAAAAACGGCAGTCGCACTCCACGCAATTCGCTGGATGGTATCTTTGCAAAGTAGTTCACTATTTTTCTCATATCACCGAATTCCGAACTGAACGTCTTGACATCGATATTTCGCCAATAATTGTATACGGCCGAATGACTGTAAAAAAAGATTGCAATAATATTTAGTGCATCGACGTGATCCAAAGGGATTAATAAATTGCTTCGATATTGAGCCTTGGCAAAAAATTTTTGTTTCAGGGTAATCGACTATATATTCCTTGCGAATACTGGACATTTGTAATGGCTGGAAAATTCATGGAAATTATCCTGGTACAATTTCAACGTCGATCGGAGAGCGATCGTCTACCGTTTAGCAGCTGTAGTACCAGAAGGAGGATAAGTCGAAGCCATTCGAAAACGATTTGTAAGAAATTTCCTTGAAGAGGTAAAAATTGAAGTTGGGTGGGGTGTGGCATTCTCAACTGGAAAGTGGAGCAATTGTCGTTGGCAAGTTGGCTTACGATACTGAATGCAAGGCGATCTCGTGTCCTCTCTTCCATAGATCATGAACTTTGGTATAGTCTGTGTATTCATGAGACAGGAAGTGGGTCACACCGATTGGGCATCCATCAGGATTCTTGAGGTCGAACAAAGCATCTTGGAAATAATCATAAGTCAGATAGTTGACGGCGTCGTCGAAAGTTAGCAGGACTATCTAAAGGAAAATCATACAGAAAACAAATAATTGACAGTACTTCACAAAAGCCCATAAAACATTAAAGAACCCATGCAAATATTTAACTTGTATCGCAGAATCACTTTAGCTCAATTTAACTTTGATCTTTCAATCAAAACTGTACTTCAAAATATTACAAAGTGCTTGAGGCTGTTTCCCACCAAACTTTTTGGGTATATCCCGCAGGCCTTATTAAATATAAAATGTACTAACGTCGTCCGCAAAATGCTTTGTTACCACATATCCCATGTGAAATTTAATAATTAATTTAATCTAACATAATTTCCTAACGGGGTATTTCAGATATATATTAGCATAGCATTTTTTCTTATTATTATTACCTATAGAAAATGCTACCACATTTTGCCGTGAAAAATCTTAGACACCCTGTATATAAGCAACATGCACATTTCCCATAGTCTAATGCCTTCTCCGATAATGCACGTGCACTTGACGTTCTGCATAGGAAGCATTAATTTTGTATATTGATCCCTCCATTACGATAGGTTCGTTCGACAGGGGGGATCTTATTGTTGGTAGACGACTGTACCTATATCTATTCTGTGTATAGTAAATAACATATGTATATATACATATACATATATATATATATACATACATACAGTGAGCGTCTCCAAGAAGGATGCGTTACCGATATTCACTGTCGTGCTTTGAATATTTGCCTTGTGTCGTAAAACATTTGTATCGTCCAGTCAAATGAATTTTGCTTTACCTTACCTGTGGAATTTTGTCGATAGGTATTTTACTGTTACTGTCGGTACCACTGCACTTGCACTCTGGCAATTTACAGGTGGCCTCGTTGCACGGATCCGCCAACTTTAGAGACTGCACTCTTGCGAGAAGAACGCATAGCGTCACGACGGCTACTCGGAGACGTCCCATGTTACAGCTGTATGAGGAATTCACGACTTCGACTGACTTTGTGCTGTCGTGATACGAAAAGCCTGTATATATAAAGAAGACAGCCACTGATAGCGTTGGGTAAAAGGAATGATAAGAATTTTTGTATTTTCGCGCTACTTAAGATTTTGAGATTTTTCTTATAGGCAGAAAGTGCCACTTGTAAATTTTTTTTAACGAACTCGTCTTTTAATCATGCGATTTATTCGACGTCAATAAGCGATAAGACGATTAGGATAAAAACTTTCTCGAGTACCGATAATTTTATTTTGAGATTAAAAAACTTATTTACACTCAATACGGCTTCGAGTATTTGCAGAATTTTTATATAGGATTATTTTTCATTTTTCTTTTAATACCAAACTGTACAATGCATAGGAATATGTAATTTCTATATATTACGGTAGTATACCTATTCGAACGATTTTGTATTATTTACATGTACGGAATAATAATTCCTTTGTGGATAAAGCTTGCTCATAGAGTTATCGCTGCAACGCTCGATGCGTACTACCTTTACGTGACAAAGATACACAGTAATGATTGTAAATCCCTTTGCCAATTTCTCTTTGTTCGTCGCGCTACTTTGTTTGGTAACCGCCGCCTTGTTTCTCTATTCGAATTTCCCGCTGTTGCTGAAAATTCAAAACGTACCGAAACAAAGCACGAGTTCACTGTGATTGCTGGCTATACACATATATAATTATAGTAACACTATACCTTGTTAAAATACCTACCTCATTATTATTGTAGTATAGATTTATTTTCTTTTTTTTTTCTTTTTTTTTTCTTGGCTTTATATCCCCTAGGGGATCAAGCGTAAGAGTTTCTCTTTGATGTATAAAAATATCTCTACTTTTATTTCTCCTCGTAAGGTGCCTACGACCTGTTGTAATTGCATACATGGAATGCCCATCAATGATCTGTCCCGTGTATCAGCCTATTATCCTAATTACACGAGACGTCAATACGGTACTGGGTATTGTAAATGGGAACAATGCCCGGCGAAGCTAATTCTCTCGGATCCTCGTGTGGACGACGTTAGCAGATATACACGGTGTAGTTTCAGCAACATTATCGCTGGTAGGAACGATATGGGCTCTTGGACTGCGAATACAGGCGGAGTGGTTGCTGGTTGGTTCCTTGGCGACTGTACCAGATTAGCCATGAGGGATAAATCTCCTGAAAACGATTAGACATTTTCAGGAACAAGCGATCCGACTAAACCAATCAAGGATGATCGAACGAACGAGCTATAAACGACGTGGGGACAATGGATTGTCGAATTGAGACTTTGCTCATGGCGCGTTGGACCCTTTGTTTTTCTTTTAATGGAAAAGCATACGTGACCAAAGGAAAGTGTTTTGGGACATACGTGGATGGACGTCGAATGGATGATTTTAGATAATTTTTGGAGAAACCTAAAGAAAATATCCAGGAATATCTGGTTATCGGGGGTATGAAGTCTGTTGATAATTTTATTACTTTTTTTTTTATATTCATACTTTTATCAAATTTGACAATTTTTATATTTTTCAGTGAAACCATAAAGGCGCGTATGCACGTACGTGATCGTGGGAGGCTAGGGAAACACGTAGATTCGCAAGACGGAAGACGGAGCGGATACGAAGTTTATTCTGGACCGAGGAAGATCATAAGGCGGAGGACTGCTTTGCTGTCTGTTGAAGTCGTTCGAGAGTTGAAAGATTTCCGTGCCAATGACGTGGAAGGGAGACAGGCATTTTTTTTTCGATTTGAATTTACAAAGTTTTCGGATGCTTTGTCTATGAGTGTATACCGGTGGAAAAACGGGTAGCAGTTTCACTGGAGGAATTTGTAGGGGTTTTCTACATGTATATATTCTTGGCTGGTGTTGGTTGACCCTGTGTCCTCCCACTTGGCCCCTTTCATCCCTATCATCCTCCGTCTCCCACCTCAGTTAGCTACCCCAGAAGCGCTCTAAAGAAACTCCGGTATATCGAGAGACTACGCCGTACCTTACGGGCTGCGCAGGAGAGATAGAATAATTTAGCAAATATGGGGTGTATTTTGTAAATTTATTAACGTGGGGAGGGTGTGCGCGTGAGGGTGGCGGCGAGTAGGTACGTCTACGGCGGTGGAGGGATCGTCCCAGGGGAAGGCGTCGGGGTTGGCTAGAATGTATGCACCTACGTAGTTACGTTTTAGGTATATGTATATACATGAATGCCGTTACTGGGTAGACAGAGAGTAAGAGAGAGAGAGAGAGAGAGAGAGAGAGGGGGAAAATAGGAGAGAGTAAGGTAGCCGTCCCCGAGGGCCAAATTTAAACGGGTCTAGAACTTTAGAACGTTCCGACGCCTCAGCGTTCCGACGCTCTTGCGTTCCACGACCTTTGATTCGTTTTTCCTTTCCCTACAGTAGGAATAGCGCGAATCCAATTGCTTCCTGGATGTAGAAATAGTGAGGAATTCACAAAAATTTTCGTGAAAAGGTTTGCCAAATCTCCATTTGAGTTTATATTCCGTATTACGTCACCGTCCTCCAAATTGAATCCCGAAAAAATTCTTGGGAGCTGCGCAAATCAAGGTGTGAATGAAGATACATGAATATCAGTCAATATTAAATTTTTTTTTAACTCCATCACGTTGGCAATTATTTATTAGTCTATCTTCAAGTCCAATAATGGTACTTGTAATGGTAATGGTACTTTTATAAAATTATATACTGATTGTACAGATCCTTACAAGAAGTCGTACACGCGTGCAGTGCATTATTTCATACTCTGTGGTAAACACAAAGTATCTCATGGTACTAAACATTTTATGTAAATACGTTACACGATATCCTATATACAAACTCTATGCCGTTTGGATCCCTTTATGAAAGCTCAATGATCGAACCGAAACGAAACTCCGCTTAGCATTCTCGCTGCTACCGTGATTTTCAATCAGCCGTTCCAACGGGTAGTGCTAGAAGTCGAAGTCGTTTACCAGAGCAAGCAGCTAGACGTAAAACGAGTCTAGACTTTGCTTGGCTTAGCATGGTAGCCTCGTGGGACCACGTCAGTGCTACAGGCCCTTTCAATTTCGTTCTACCAACAAGGAGGTAGATTTTAAAAATCAGACCTGCAGTACATAAGCAGCATGCATGCATAACCTGAAAAATCAATTCTGTTGATTACATTGGTAACAGGTTGATTCACTTGAGAGAAAGCTTGAAATTCATACAAAGCTACTCGTCCATTCAAAAACAGGTTTGCAAAGTTGTCAAATAAGGTTTATAAAAATTCAGTACAGTATTTTACAAAATTTTTTTTATTCTTTCCATGTTTTAGTTCCAGTTTCACAGGAGGAGGACACTGGTGGCTTGTGATAAATGCTGCCGACTTCCTGTCTGCAGGGAATTCAGGAACACACGTTACGTTGACCGTCCTGACGGAATCCTCTAGTGTTTTCGCTTGAGGATTCAGCTATAGCGTCTGCGCATGCGCAGTGGACATACTCTGGGGAAGGAGCTAGACTAGGACAACCTTGGCAACCATTGGCAACTGGCGTCCTGCGTTGCATATGGAGTTGATTCTGGCTACTCAGTGGAGTTAGCACACACTGTATATGTTGAAGGTTCTTTCGATGATTAGCACCCGAGTGCAAGTCCAAGTGGCACAATTAATTCTGTGGATTTCAAGATCCCACCTGTCTCTCCGGAGCTAACGATTTGTTTGGTTCTCTTGAGTTTGGTCTTCTGCCCGAGGTTCCCCGAGAATACCAGAGTTCCTCTTCGGTACTGGTGGAGGAAAAAGTTGTATAATAGAAAGTAAAATGAAAAAATGTATAAAAGTTATAGAAAAATAGGAGGAAAAGTTGTGTGGCTATTTTCAAAATAACTATTCATTGCTGTGATAAAAATGTTGAATTTTCGTTCGCGTTTGGGAACTTTGAAACTCTCTATAGCTGTGTGCGTATATTATATGCTTATCGTAGTTTATTTTTATAGAGTCGATTAACGTTTTATACGAATTCATAGAGTTCGCTTGAATTTTCGTTACGGGGTATAACGTCCGATAAAAATATAATCGTCTTGTGTTACAGGATTTGGATATGGGATCCGAAAAATACGCGAGCAGTGTTACATCGATATTCGCAATGGACTGTCGTATGCAGCAACAAAATATCGGTCCATTGAGCCACAGTGTGATTTTCCGGAAAAGTAATTTCAGGATTTGGCATTCAGATGAATTCACCACCTATGCCCATATACGTATAGAGTGAATAGGTATGAAAAAAAACTATTCCAAAAAAAAAAAAAACTATACAGAAACTATTGAATCCGGCGTACGATTCGAGAACCACGTAAGGCAAGGAAGGGCGCGGGAAATTCGAAAGGGCGCTACGCCAAGAAGACGTGGAAAGTCGAGGTAGTAAATTTTGGGTGAACCCTCGCGCAACACGACAAGGGGATAGAGTAGTTACATTAAGCTACAACCACCCTGAACATACATCAGCGGTCAACCCTAACCTGCATCTTGCCCGGGTGAATTCTTCCTAATTCCTAGACGGCGCTCTGGACTATCTTACAGGACTATAGGTACCAAAACTATATTCCATCAGCACATACAATACCACAAAAATTTTAATTCGACTGTACGATAATTTTCAGATTGAAGGAACCAAGGGATTGCATCATGAGTTTCCTGCAGCTTTGCCATACCACCATGCTACGACTGCGCCACGAGTAGGGTGCGGAGAGTATCCTAAGTTCTGGCTGAAAAAGAAAATGTAAAAAAAAAAGAACTTTTTGAATTAGGCGTAAAAAGTAAGAAGGCCCGCGCGTCTGCTCGCGGTTGTAAAACGCGAACGACGCTCATCTAACTTGCGTAACTTGTGTCATACCTTCAACAAAGAAGGGTGAGCCGAATCTAGGAAATGGAATGTGGATTTATTAATGTATGTTTGTCAAGGGAGAAGGGTAGGGGCGGCGAGGGGAGGGTGATTGAGTGCTCTTGGGGGGTAACACTTCGAAGGGTAGGAAGAAGTGCAATCGTACGCAGCCCCAAAGGTTACGACTAATCGCTTTTACCGCCTCACGCACTTTTACGCTCTTTTGCATATATTACCGTCACTCTTTATTCGATCGCTTTTCTCGCTTCTGAATTATTTCAGACAGCGGTCCATCGGATGACGCTGGATGCTGCCAATATAACGACCGCCCGATCCCCTACAGATAATTCAAAGTCCCATAATAGGGTATACGTATTGGGCCGTATCCGGAAACCGTGGAAGCCGGATATATTGAAACATCTTGAGGTCTGGCGGCTACCGGCGGGACCTTTCCTCCCGCGACGTCGTCCTCGTATAGCCAATATAGGAAGTAGATGCGACAGGCGAGGCCGCACTAAAACAAAATTGTCCTTGCTGAATATTTTATCTCCACTTCCCGGATGCCCAGGATTCTTTCTAGTATATAGACAAGGCGCTACCCAAAGAGTATACGTGTATATATTATATATATACTCCGTGGACCTAGTACGAGTTTAGGACTTTACGTTTTTTTTTTTCTTTTTATCTTCTCGTACCTACGTAGGTACCAACGTACTGGGGATCGAGTTACAGCTTCCCTTCCAGTGGAACCTATGCCTACCTATAAAGAATCTTATACGTTTATCCTGCTGCCTTTTTCATTTTGCTTTATAACCCCAGGAGCCGTTTCCTTGGGTAGCTCTCGATGCCCTCAGCTCCGCAATCTTAGGCTGTATAGGCATAAGCGCGCATACTAAATCCAATGCGGAATCCAAATGATACGTCAATTTTAGGATCGCTAACAACTGCTTTGCGTATGCGTACACATATGTACATATGAGCTGCTATTTTTCAGGAGGCTCCTCGTCGACGGCACGTGGAACAAGGTGGAAGGGTTAAGGAGCTAAAGGGATGAAGTCATAACGTAGGCCCATTTCTGTTTTTGTGCCTCGGCTAGGAGCATTCTGGTGGTTGTCGAGGGGAATGAAACGAGGCAATGCGGAAGCGTCGCGGCGCCTTGGTGTCTACTGAGTCGCGTGAGACGCCACCGAGCCTGCCCTACGTATAACACACTCGTTTAGCTTACTTCTGGGTACGTCTACGTGACTGAATAACAGCAGTGTGCAAAATAACTATTCTCTGACTTATCTCTTATCAGCCGTACCTATCGACGCCCGTGGTATCAGTTTTAGTCCTAGAAAAAAAAAAAAAAAAGAGACGCTATTACGATATGCATCATTGGCGACGCGGTGTAATTTTCAAAATCTACGTTTGACAAACTTGAATTGAAAATATTTAGATATTTATCGGGTGCGGTAAGCGTGCGGTTTTTCGAATCAGTGATTGCGCGATAAGGAGATCATATTTAATTGTATTGTCAATGAGCTTTTATTATTTTTGACTTTTATCATAGATATATGGTAGTGGAACTGATTGCGGTGGGTACTTATTTGAAAGTTATATTAGTCGAATAATTTCATTTTGCTTTTAGGTTGGATCTATGAGAGTTCGAGACGATCCTGTGGTTCAGAGGTCAACCTTCGAGGTCTTACCTTCAGGGCGAATTACCAGGATCCAGCGATGCCATAGCTTCGCCGGGAACGACGAGGGTCACGGTCTACGTGGGAGGGTAGTTTTATGGCGGGAAAGAGCACGTGGCGCCGCCACTTACCTCTCACGGCGAAAGCCTCGAGCGTCCTTGTTTCTACGCAAGAGTAAATCCTGAAGCTATGGCTGTGTGACGCTTTGATGAATTCCCTGGAAAGTTACGCCACTGTCGGAGCACCGAGTTAGATTTAATCGCGTGTTAATCGTACGGGAGCAGAGACCAGTGGAATAGAGTCTTGGCAGCGGTGTGAATTTTCATTTGAAAAATAAGTCCATAAGCATTGGCGTAGTTTCTGGGTGTGGATAAGAAAAATGAGAATTTCATGTAAAAGTATTGTTATTATTTTACTCTGCCCGGTCAAAAGACACGGTGGTATCTGTTGTTCAGAACGGCACGGGTGATCTTGTAGATTGTTAGGTCTTCAAGTGAAATTGGACTATAAGGAACCATTGCCAAAACGGATATACGTAAATGTCCTAAACAAGACTCGTTAACCACTTCTAATAGGGTAACTTGCTAAATATCGGTCTTTGGTTAAGGGGTCATCCAGTGATATCTAAATCGTCTCATTTCGGGTGGCTTTCATATTACCTTCGTCACCAAGATCAAATTAAACCTCACGGAGCGAGTAGATGTATTTGTTAAAGATACGAGTAAGGGTTTTCTTTTTAAGGGCACTTATTAAGTTTTGACTCATTAGCACGTGGCTCGGACGAATTTACTAATTACCATTAGGTTTCTCAAGATAAAAGTCAATGGACGGTGTCAGTGTTTCAATGGATGATTAATCAGGGTGGGTCGGGGGTGCTTTTGGCGAAGGGAAAAAAATGTTAAATATAAAATTTTACTAGTCGAGCCTGTAGGCGTCATCGGAACTACGTGACGCCATGACGGTATGACGTAAGAGGGAAAACTTCGAGAACATTCGAGTTAGTTCTGGGGCAAATGGTTCGCCAAGAATTACCCAACCCCTGTTCTGGTTTCCGCTCGAAAAAAAAAGATGGCTCGTTTTTCCCTCCCTTCGCCGAGGGCTTAATTAGTTCAATCAAATTATGAATATTTAATTCGGCCTGTCGTTATTCCGCTCGTCCCGGCCCTTCTTTGCGAAAAGATAATTGGCCCGCAGCGGAATTAGTTTTCAGCAGCGGTCGGGGCCACTGCTCGATACGATGTGAATGCGGAAGGAGGCTTGCTGAAAGTTTACGTCGACGTAGCAGAAATCCTGACGTCACGTCAAAGCAAGGGAACACCGAAAGTAGGCTTTAAAGATTTGTAAAAAAAAATTATACTACCCCTAATAAAAACCGTACTCTTGAAATCGGCGTGGGAAAGCTTAAAAACAATTTTATCGTGTTACAGAAAAAAAATTTTTTCAAACTACGTTCATATTTTTTTTTTCTTTTTCTTTTTCTAATACAACGTTAAGGCAGGAATGAAGAATTTTTTAAGAGAAAGCCTTAACGTTATCTACAGTCGCCAATAACATGTTAGATGCCGCTGGGCTCCAAGTGCGCCCTAAGGCTGACGCTCGCAGGGGGTACCTACCCTCGTCGATATTCCATTGTCGAAGATGCGAGGAACGGGAATAAGAACGAGAAGAATTTCGAAACTAAAATTACAGAGAAGAGGCAGATTAAAGAGGGAGCGAGGGTTGGGTTTTTTTTGAGGGGGGGGGGGGATAGGTAAAGCACGAGGGAAAAAGGAAAGGGCTCGCTTTTATACGGCATTTGACATTACCATATGAATACGTTAGTTGGTTCTACGCTCATCTAGGCGGTTTCCGGTTCCCGGTTATCGGTTCGGCATCCCTTCCTGCCTCTTCGCGGTTGCTCTTGTATACTATATCTATATCTGTACACCCCTTCGTCCGTCTCTTTATCTTTTTACCATCCTCTCTCGAGCTCTTTCTTTCCTTTTCTTTTTTTCTTCCCCTTTGAGCGAATATTGGCAAATGGCAGACTAAAGCAAGCCGATAACTTCTAGCTCGCTAATTTTATGAGATCCCTCTTTGGCCGACTGATAAAATTCCGTGGATGGGCTTTGCGGCAGGGGGGAGAACCTGTGACGAGAGATCAACCCCCCCGCGCCGGCAGTGATATAGTTTTCATACGAATGTGGGCTTAGGTAGAAATTTGAATTCGGCATTCCTACCTTTGTACCATTGGTACCAATATGGCGGCTCGAGTACCGGTACAGAGGGTTGGTATGCTCTTTTCTTTGACTCGCATTTCAATTATTTTCAATCAGGCTAATTTCTACTTGAATGTAAATTACTTTTGGGTCGCCTATGGTGAGTGTCGTGTGTTATTATTGAATTTTGATTAATAATATATATATATGTATATATACGAGTCAGTGTATTTTTTACTAGAAAAATTATCTCAGATTTCAATCGACCTTAATTTCAAATGGCAAAGAACTGAGGAATTTTTTTCAAAATTATTTTCACCCTGCGAAACTATCTCGCGATAATCAGCATTTTTGACGTATTGTGTGGGAATACTGGGAAATTGATTTGAACTAGAAATAATTCTGCATGTAATTCATAAGAGGACAAATAACGGAGGATACCGCCAAGCCTCTTCGTTACGAGTGGTAGTACACATTTTTTCGTTCTTATCAGAGATAAATGTAGTAATTCACAATTGTGTGTATATATATATACACTGCTACAATTTGTATCTCCCGAATCAAGACACGTAAAAAATTTTCTTATCGCTTCCTGATATACACTTTGTCCTATCTGCTTATACCAAGAAGACTATTTCTATTTCGCAGTTGACTAAAAGAAAAAGGAAAATTAATTTAACAACGTATCTTACCTCGTCTTTATCTTTGCTCTCACGCCAACGTAATACAGTACTGCAAGTACCTTTCTCCCACTACGTGCGTATAGCCATTTGTAGCTAACATAAAGACGTATCAGGGCTTTGCCACCCTTAGAAAAATTGTCAGCGGTACCTGCGTACCTGCCATTTGGCAAGGTCTGGAGCCCAAAGATCGTAAACAGTGCAAAGAGAAGCGTATAAAGAGAGCGAGAGGAAACGTTAAGCGCGATAGCTCATAATTTTTCGAAGGAACCTCGCCCCCCGAAAAAAAAGGAAGCTAGATGGCGCCAGCGTCGCCAGAGTGAGAAATGTTGTTTTGTAATGGATCACGAGGAATTTACTGGTTCTACGAGTTTCGGTCGTGTCTAGGGTACCGAGATATCGCGACGTTCCTAATGGCGGATAGTGCTGCAAGTAGGTACAGTGGAAGACGTCGGGTCTGAACATAAGGTTACGTATCCACTGTTACTGCTACGTACTCTTTTACCTTTTCCTTTTATTCTCTCTGTATTATTCCGTCGAGCCCTCGAGATTCCTCATTTCTACGAGCCCATTTTACCCGCCTATGACTCCGTGGTTCCACGTGGACGAGTACAAGGGTGTTTCTGGGGTGTCTGTACTTACAAACGTGCCCACTAACTCAGCCGCGGGTATATGAGTACGATAGGGGTTGCACGTACATCCCCTATACGAATCCCTAGTAGGTTAGGTACGGCTTATCGTAAAAGTAAGACAAGACTACGGACTCGGGGTAATGTATTTTTGCCCCTTTCTTGCGGTGTCCTTTTTGCCAAGGGTAATGGCAAAATTTGCAGACTTTTTTATTCCTCGTACGGGATGCGTACGAGAAATTTGGTATAGCGAATTTTGAGGGATGCTCGTGATACACGTGGTGACGTCACACGCATATACACGGAAGTCAAAATTTTTTATGGGTGAAAAATAAATTTGCTCAAAATATAGCGAACGAGGGAAATTTGGAAATTTTTGTCATGAAGATTTTTTGGTATTTTTTTTTTTTTTTTGTGAATTGTGGATATTGCGATTGATTTTTTTTTTGGTTATTTCACCCTTTTTTCTCCCTTGCTTTACAGAGGGTCACTGCTCCTCCCGAACATCCCCATGGAATCATCCCATGGTTTTTGGTTTTTTTTTTTTTTTTTTGTGAATTGTGGATATTGCGATTGATTTTTTTTTTGGTTATTTCACCCTTTTTTCTCCCTTGCTTTACAGAGGGTCACTGCTCCTCCCGAACATCCCCATGGAATCATCCCATGGAATCATCCCATGGAGAAGAGATTGGCGACTGGTGAGTGAACAAGCCAATTTACCCGAGTATTTCTGAGAATTGATCGAATTTGTTTGTGATTGTATCATAGGCGACGAGAGAGACTAAAGAGACTCGTAGTAGAAAAGGTCGCGGAGTGCAAAGGGTAACTCCGTTAGGATGCTATTACCGGACAGATTGCCTTGGGAATAGGTTCGCGTGGTCGTGACGAAAATACGTCATCCTATAAAATTCGTTAGGCGAAATTTATAGAATAACTTGATGTAGGGACACCTTAGGTTGATATTACGAGTATATAGCGCAATTTGCTAAGGTGGGAATTTCTTCTTTTTTTTTTTTTTTTTTCACCAATAAAGTCGTATCGGTTCATATAAAATCTTTTAATTCAGGTAAACGTTCGGTTTACGTATTCGGTTCGAAGGGAATATTTTTTGTACGGTTTTATTTTCCTTTGACATTTATCTAAGTAACGGAAGAATAAAAATGTCCTAGACCTAACGACGCGTCTCCACGAATGCGACGGTGGCTTTATTTCGTGCCGTATATCAAGAGTCAAAGAAAACCAGTTGCCAGGTTCAACGCGAGAATGTGAATAACGTGTATGGGAACGATAAAAGGATCTGTGAGGGAGAGAGAGAGAGAGAGAGAGAGAGAGAGAGAGAGAGAGAGAGAGAGGGTGTGTCTAGGTTACCGTAGAGGAAATCGTGAGTGGGTGTAGTCTAGGTTAGGTTAGGTTAGGCTAGACTAGCGTGTAGCACAGGATGATAATTTTGAAAAAGTGGTTTTAAAGAGTTCGAAGTTGGAAGCCAACCGCTCCCTCTTTCTACTTCTCTCTCCCTCTCCCCCCCCTCACTCTCTCTCTCTCTCTCCACCCTCGTACTCGTACTCTCGGACTATGTAGGCGCCGCGACGTCGGATACCGGCGCCGCGCGGACGCCTGTGCCTTCGATCCGTACCCACAAGAGCGAGAACCAGAGACGCGGCCAATAGGCCAGCCAATATGGCAGGCAGTAAGGTAGAAGTTTAATTCATAAAGGTATATAACCAAAATTACGCATTAATCCAAAAATATCCAAATTGAAAAAAACAAAAACCTCAAAACATAATTTCCTCGTATCCCTAGGAATTGACGAATATTCACGGTGGGGGGGGGGG